CNTATTTCGTATCTCCTTTCCTTCTTTCTCCACTCCCCCACCCCTATTCCTCCTCTGCCGTTTATCTGCCGTAGTAACGCCTCTGTAGTTACCCCCCCTTCCGTAGTTACCCACCCTTCCGTAGTTACCCACCCCTCCGTATTACCCCCCTCGTATTTACCTTCATAGTTACCCCTCCCTCTATTTACCTACATGTAGAATATATACTTTACAAATAAATACAAAGTAAAATACCAAGTCGAATGCAGTACGCGAAGAACGACGACGGATTCGTCGTCGTTCACCACCGCTGCGTCACTGATGTTACCAACGACCCATGGCACACACTAATGATGATGACGACCCACGTCACCGGCCCACCAACGCCATTTCAACAGCGTATGTTGAAGGCAGTACCTCCGGGTTACCCGTGACAATGCTGACATGATACATGTGGAGTGGTAGCTACCACTTTTATGATAAAGTATAGACAAGTGCCTGCACACTCACATCCACACTGCCTAAGGAATTTATGAAATGAGAAACCTAGGCAACTGTTATGAAATGTATTTCATTTCTCTGCCAGTCCTCATTTCAATCCTGTCCTTCAAAACTATTTCATTTTTCATGCCTACCATCATTTCATTTATTATTTCATTCCTACCTGGCCCTTGATTTCATAGCCCACCCAGCCTTATTTCATTGTAATTTCATTCCTACCTGGCCTTCAATTTCATTGCCGACCCACCCCCATTTCATTGCTGCCTGGCTTTGAATTTCATTGCCCACCCACCCTACTTTCATTGCTGCCTGGCCTTTAATTTCATTGCCCACCCACCCTTCTTTCATTGCTGCCTGGCCTTTAATTTCATTGCCCACCTCACCCCCACCCTTCTTTCATTGCTGCCTGGCTATTGAATATCATTGCCACCCACCCCCATTTCATTGCTGCCTGGCTTTGAATTATTGCCTACCCACCCTTCTTTCATTGCTGCCTGGCCTTCAATTTCATTGCCCACCCACCCCCATTTCATTGCTGCCTGGCTTTGAATTTCATTGCCCACCCACCCCCATTTCATTGCTGCCTGGCCTTTGAATTCATTGCCCACCCACCCTTCTTTCATTGCTGCCTGGCCTTTAATTTCATTGCCCACCCCCTATTGCCTACCCATTTCATTGCTGCCTGGCTTTAATATCATTGCCCACACCCCCATTTCATTGCTGCCTGGCTTTGAATTATTGCCTACCCACCCTTCTTTCATTGCTGCCTGGCCTTTAATTTCATTGCCCACCCACCCCCATTTCATTGCTGCCTGGCTTTGTATTTCATTGCCCACCCACCCCCATTTCATTGCTGCCTGGCTTTGATTTCATTGCCACCCACCCCCTTTCATTGCTGCCTGGCTTTGAATTTTTGCCTACCCACCCTTCTTTCATTGCTGCCTGGCCTTTAATTTCATTGCCCACCCACCCCCATTTCATTGCTGCCTGGCTTTGAATTATTGCCTACCCACCCTTCTTTCATTGCTGCCTGGCTTTTAATTTCATTGCCCACCCACCCCCATTTCATTGCTGCCTGGCTTTGTATTTCATTGCCCACCCACCCTTCTTTCATTGCTGCCTACCCCCATTTCATTGCTGTCCCACCCTTCTTTCATTGACCTTACATTGCATTGCCCACCCAGCCTTGGCCTTTAATTCAATGACTACCTACCCTTATTTCATTGCCATTTCATTCCTTCCCAGTCTTTGATTTCATTGCCCACCCAGGCACATTTTAGTGCAAATTTATTTCTGCCTTACTTTCTGCCTTTCTTACTTCATTATAATTTCTTTCCCACCCGGTTCATAGCTACCCAGGCACCAATCTCATTGTATCCAGTCAATATTTCATTGGGGCCTAACTACTTAATACTTAATACGAAGTCAACCACCCTAGTACAGTTAATAGTCTATATCATCTAGATTAAAAGAGTCAGCCTCATCTGCCTCAACGTCCTCATCTCTGTCTTCACTATCAAGTTCATTGTCATCTCCAATATCCTCATCATCAGGATGATTAGATGGGACATTAACATCTGCATCAGCATTTTGCCGTGGCACAGGGACATCCAAGAGCATATGCTCATAATCGGATGCCCATGATGGTATAATACCTCTCACTTTGAGGTGTGGCAGCCAATGGACTGTGCACCGCGCTGCCAAACGTTCACAGATGTCAGCCTGTTTATATGCGTAACCCGAAATCCCACTCAAGACCTTTAGATCATCATGGTTTCGTCTTACGCTGCGCTCACGCCACCAATCAGCCCTCCACTTGTGATAAACAATGACATGTCGCATCTCCTCTTGAACAAGCATCAGCTCTTCATTCCACCTCTTCATTCGAGCCCTTGCCTTCGCCCACTCCACACGCATGCTGTCATTAAACTCGTCTTCACCGATTTCCAACTCTGAGCGGTTGTGGGGGCTTGCGCGTTGTGCCAGCCAGATCCACGATGGCTGGTAACGACTATTTGTGGTGTTTGTTACTTCGGGATCCCTACCAGGGCCGCTAACATCCTTAGGCTTGAGTTCATGCAGTTGCAATAACCACGAACCGCCAGGATCGAGACTAGACAGAGCACGCCGAGCACAACGGTACTTTTCAGCCGCTCGATCTGTTTTGTTGTTGAAACGTTTGTATAGGCCGATCATGCGCGTGTTTGGCTGATTTCCAATCCCCGATGCATTTAGCCGCTTGAAGAGCCAGAGCCCTTGGATAACATGGCGCTGACGTCGGACCTCGGCGAGAGCATCATCGGCTTGCGGTCGGCGTAATCATAGTTCAAGGGAGCAGATTCCCTTGAGCTCCGGGAGAGCACGAATACGTGGCGGCAATGATGATGGAAGGAAGAGGGGCAGGTTCTCAGCCAGGGTTTCTGATGGCAATGGTGTCGACGAGCTTGTAGTTGTAGCCTCAGGAGGTTGGGCTTGCAAAAGAAGGGAGCCGACGTGAGGAATATAGATAAGTTGGACCTCGCGCCAGTTTTGGATGAGACGATATAACGCATTTCGCTTGTTTTGAAGATCCGTGAGCTGCTTACTCGTCCGTAATCCTTTCGCTTTGCTGGCTTCGCAGCGGAGAAGATATCTACACATGTTGAGACCATAATTTGAAACACAAAGGTATAGTACACTTACTGGCTATCCTCCAAGTCGAAGCCAATCAGTAAGAAGCTTGACAAACTAACTTTGTGTCGAGGAAGCTGGCCAAGGGCCGCTTGAGCAGCTTCTTCCCTCGCCAACACAAGCCAGATATCTTGTAACGTAGTTCCTTGATGTATAATTAGACACTTATGCAAAAACAATTAGGAAATGAGAGAAATATCTTACCGCTTGGTCGGTCCTGATAAGGGTTTCGAGCCTTCGGATTCGCGTTCCACGCGACGACCATTTCTTCCCACTTCTTGACAGCTGAGGGACTAAACGTGGTGGAAAACTGATCAAAAACATCCGCTTGTTGAGCGCTGAATGTGAACGCGTCTTTGAAGCGCTTTAAGAACAAAGTTCCTGATGGCGAAAGACTGTGAGTATGGGGATGAACTGTAAGGTAAAAAAACTCTTACGAAAACCAACAATTTTTCGAAAGTTCCAGCCGTTCCACTGATCGTTCAGGGTGTCATGCCTCGCCGCCGGACCCATCTCTCGAACACTAGGCGCTAATTGATTTGTACCCGCCCACGTTGTTTCAATATCTTCACCGACCGTCCTACCAGCTCCCTCCATGTAGCTGAGGTTAAAATTCGTCCGACAGCCCTCGCCGTGTCCGTTAATGTGCCAACCAGGGATGGCCACCTCAACCTGCGTCGTCTCGGGGATTCGCATGTTTTCAGGGTAGTTTTTCATCTGTTTTCGGAAGTTCTTTGACCACTGGCAGATGATGTCGTAGGTGATGACAACGCGGAGAAGTGTTATACCCATCAACACGGAAAACAAGATGAAATCAACAGTACAGTATCTAGATTAAATGCGGTCAATGAACGAACGAATTAGATTCTGAAATAGCGTACCTTTCGCCCTTCTTCAGGTCCCCCGCTCCGTTTTTGCGTATTAGACAGTGTCTCGAGCAAATGACTAAAACGGCACCGGAGACGGCATAACCGGCTGTTGATCGAGTGCTGGCACGAACAAGTGCGTCGTGCTGAGATTCACATGTATTGATCTACCCGAAATTCAATCAGTTCATTGAGTGGCAAACAAATTTGTTCTGACTAACCTCAGGTTCATCGACGTAATTCGCAAGGTGTTTCTGGTACTCATCCTCCGGGACGTAGGCTCCCCATCCAGGCATCAACTCCACATCCTTGAGGTTTCGTTGAACAAGTGCGTCGTGCTGAGATTCACATGTATTGATCTACCCGAAATTCAATCAGTTCATTGAGTGGCAAACAAATTTGTTCTGACTAACCTCAGGTTCATCGACGTAATTCGCAAGGTGTTTCTGGTACTCATCCTCCGGGACGTAGGCTCCCCATCCAGGCATCAACTCCACATCCTTGAGGTTTCGTTCCTTGCCCTTGAGTTTGAAGTTGCCATCCACGGCGATAAAAAGTGCGTAAAGAAACCTGCTCAGTCAGTTAGTGAAGTAAAAGCAGGAAAACAATCAAGAAAACTCACAACAACGGTCCAGCCCTTTCCCATCCATCAGGGAGGTTTCGTTCAGGGTGCGGACATGCAGGACATTCGACCATGAGCCCACCTTGTGAGGTTCCACTCACGCCATCCGGGTCATGACCGCGACCGGCTCGCTTGAGAGCCATCAAGTTTCGCCACATCCTAAATACTCGGTGGATCTCGGGATATCGGTACTGTTAAAATCAGAATCGGTAGCAAGATTTGAGAGTGATCGCAGACTTATGATGGGAGCGGATAGGTTGGCATTGTCTGATAGTCGGAGAAGGGTATGATAGGAGTCGTAAAGGTTGGTTTTCCCTTGGAGGGTTAGTTCGTGGAAAGTTTCCAGACACCGGAAAGTGAAGACGGTTTGAGGACGTTGAAGCGTTGCAGGAAACCAACTTTCACGCAACAATTGTACCCAATTTGACGAGGGTTCATCTTGGCAGTGGCAGTAGTTGATAGTGACATAATGAGGGCCGGAGACGTCGAAAATGAGAAAGTTCTTGGGACCAGGCTGAGGACAAGGGCATGGCGCCCCCGAATGACCAAGTTGGTAGTAAAGACCAAGGCTTTGAAGGGACACCTTCTCGAAAAAAGCACTGTTCCATCTCTGATGACAAAAGACAGTCAGCTGACAACTTCTCATCATGTGAGTAATGACGCGCTGACCTCAACACGGTGCAATGGATGTTTGCGGTGCGCATCGACGGTGCAATCCAAGCACTTTAACATACCTCCGTCTCCACAATCCTTGCATTTGATGGTTCCATCCTTCTTTCCGCAATTTGAGCAGCTCGTATGCCCGAGGAAATCACCCAGTCCGTCATGCCGCAATGCTTCGTCCAAGAATGTTTCCCTGAATTTGAGCCATTCGGTCAGTCGATCCTGAAAAACGTAAGTCAGAATGTATTTCAGGGAAGCATTCGAGGTATTGACATACAGCGTTTGTTGTATACCTTTTCCTTTTAGCTTTAGCAGTAGTCTCGGCTGATGGGATACCTCCAACCTCCTCTGGCGACGCGGTCTGTGCTTCGCAGTCACCACCAGCAGCTGCTGTAGATGGTGTGTTGGAATCCGAAGCTGGTTCAGACTGCTCAAGGGTAGAAGAAGGTAAGAGGCGGCTCTCAAGTGTCACGCCACGTCGACGAGAGTCAGTGCTGACCGTGACGAACAACGAAGAACTGGAAGCAGAGGGAGGTTGGGAGACGGAAGGCTGAGGACGGACCAGTTGAAATCCTGCCATCTTACGAGACTGTTTAGTAGGAGGTTCACGGCCAGGACCAGGTGCAGGAGGATTTGGCCGTTTCGACATGGGTGCTAGTAGAGGAGACGCGAAGAAAAATTAATGAGATTTCCTGCGCAAGGAATGAAATCGGGATAAGATTCTGTGCCCTGGTGCCATATGTGGTAAGTAACTTACTTAGTATATCATTATGTCTCCTGTTCCCCGAGATTGAAATTGGCAAACTTCCATAGATAGCAAGATAAAAGCGGCTCAAAAACTCAGGTAACAACTTCTTTCAAAGCGGAGGACCACCAGGATTTTCACTCAGTAGTCGGTTGAAAATGCAAAAGTGGTTTCCTCAGTGAACTTCGACTCAACACCCGCTTGCCAATGACATCCAACTCCTAAGGACGGAGCTTAACCAGTATCGCTAAAGACTTATATTACGTCGAGGCCGTTCTGATTGTCCTGGTCATATCCATTTACTTTACTCAGGCTGGATGGTGAGTGGCACACAAACATTGTCAATATATGATTATCAACGTTCAAGAACATTGAACAAGTTCAAACGCTCCGAGCCTGTGTGCGTCTTCTGAAGTCCATGATGCTACGATGGCTTTGCAAGCCATCGTTCAGCGCCATAGTAAGTAAATTAGTTCTTATATTTAACGTACTGGTGTTATATTACATTCCTGAATACAAAGGCAGCATAGAGGTTGCCAGCCTGTGGTCATGATTGTTCGAGCATGTTAGTAACCCTTAGGGCTTTGCAAGCCATCGTTCAACGCTGTAGTAAGTCAATTACTTCTGATATTTAACGTACTGGTGCTATATCACATTCCTGAATACAAAGGCGGCATCGAGGTTGGTCAGTTCGAGCATGTTAACCCTTAGTAGTCGATGCACTGCTACTGCTACTTGGCTACTACCAACTTATAATTACTGGTCTTGAATTCAAACCAATGAAGGGCATATGAAATGACAATAGATTCAAAGCAGACTATCACAATTTTACAAGCAACTACTGAATGGCATCGGCCTCAGGACCAAACCTATCCCCATCTCCTGGATTACGAACCACCCTAACTTTATGCTTCGTCTTATGCTCTAGGTAAAACTCAGCCGCCTCTGCAAGAGACTTGAAGGACTTGTATTGAGCACCCGTAACGTAGTCTATGAGGCACCTGACGTCATCCCTTAACAAGTGCATGTCAGTAAAATAGGACATTTGAGAGTTGAGTGTTTACATACCATTCACCGTAGTAAACGCCGATGCATTTTCCAATGATGATGGCATAATACTTTAAACCCTTCCTAGGAGAAAGACGGGTCGCCGAGGGACCGGGCGGGGTACAGGCTTGGAACAAAGCTCCAGTGCTTGAGCCGGGATTGTTGGACGTCGAGAGACGCGTAAATGCGGCTGTTAAGTCCTGCAACTCGGATGGCTTGTAGCGCCCGTCTTGCGGCAAACCGAAAAGTGGGTTGTCATTAGAAGGACGCCCAACGGTTTTGACTTCACGAGACTCGGTGTTTTCTTGCAAGGCACCGAGGTTCTGTACAGATGGTACAGGCGAATGGGGATGGTACAGGCGAATTGTGGAACGGACGGTGACCAAGGTGACGCCGAAGTCCTTCGAGTGGGTTACTCGCAGAAAAAGGCATGGGGGAGCCAAGTCCGTCAGACTCGACATTCCCCTCCAAGACATTGGGCTCATTCACGGCAGTTGGAACGAGTGGAGGTTGACCAAGGTGTCGCAGCAGTGTTTCAACTTGACGAAGGCGTTCACGATCAATGACTACAGTGACAGTCTGAGCACTGGCAGCGCCGGCAGACTCCGGCAAAAGCTTGACGTCCGATGTATCTATTGGCGTTGTCAGAGAACTGAGACTTGATACATGTGAGAGACTCACCTTTTCGTCCACTGGCCATTCTTGGTGTGGAGTGGGAAGGAAAAAAAAAAGAGTCTCAATGCAGAGCAGAGGCCCAAACATGACAAAAGACGACCAGTGATTGGAGTGGTCTGCGGCTGGATCCACGTAGCAAGAAGCTAATACTAGCACTCCCAGATTTCGATTCGACTTTACGCGGCTCCTTCAATAACTCAGCTCCTTCAGTAACGCGACTCACTCAATATGACACGCGCTTCGTGGGCTGACAAAGATCAACATAATTGGCTTGATTCGCGCAAAGCCCAGTTCATCGAGGTCAATCAGCAGAAAGCCGCTGCCAAAGAATTCTTTCCAGATGTGGTCAAGGACTTCCGCGAAAAATGGCCTGTGTCCCCAGCCACACCAGAGGAAGTCGAGAAGGCCAGTTCTGAAGAATCTGCAACGAAGAAGAAGCGCGAGAAGTATGACAAGGTACACGATCACCAATCATAATAGACTAACATTCTAATTGACACTTACATAGCGTGTCCGCGATTGGTTCCACAACAATACGAGGAACGTGGCTTCAAACGGGGGCACTCATGGCATATTAAAGGTCAAGGCTAAGCCCAAGATGCTCCAAGCATGGCAGGCATATCATGCCCTCACCTATCAGACGAAATGGAAACCATTCATTCAAGAGAGATGGACTGCGTACCAGGAGGAATGGGCTACTGAGCACCCAGAGGAGAGTAAGCCTGCAAAGGGTCGGTTTCAGATTATGGTAGAGTTCATTAAAGAAAAATACGCCGGAGAGACCCCCGAGATCAGGGCCGAGTGCGAAGAATATCGGAAGAATCGTCGTGATGAAACTCCCACAGCCTTGGCCGGTGAAGAGGCAACTAAAAACATCGAATTGCAGTCGTGAGTGTCTTGAGAAATTTCTGAGCGTAAACCCGCTTACTTTGGTAATAAGCGCTATTACAAGACTTCCTCGATCTCTAGCAGCGATGGGTGCATCACTCATGGAACAGACAGGTTGGAATATCACAATTCTTGCAGGGGGTCCTTCACCTGAACACGATGGAATGATCGTGAGTTTCTTGTAAGTCAAACAAACAACTACCAAGCGTATAAAACTCATGGAAATGTCCAGATCTCATACTGGAAAGACCAAATCCGGCGAGACATTTGAAAAATTTCTGGGGAAGCAGGATTACGACGCGTCTCTTTTGCTTCCATTCGAAAGGTTCCTTAATTCATCATTTTGTGAGTACAATGATCAGAAGATGACAATTCGAAAACTGACTCCACCTACTTTCTTTTGAAGCTGCGGAGGATTGTGCTTCATGCTGACTTGTGAAAGTTGAGACAGATGCCGACTTGGAAGTCTCCGATAAAGAGTGGCACTCAGAGCAGAAAGAGGACGGGGACAACATGGCGGCAGAAGATAACGGTGGCGACAACGCAGCTGCGGGCGCGCATGGAAACCACCACGTAACTGCGACGAAATCGCACGGCCTTAGTGAATACGAGATAAACAAGGCGAAGAATGTCGCGGAGCTTAAGAGAAAGCTTGCTGAAGTTGATAAGAAATACCCCTTCCCCGAGGAATTGAGAGGAAAGAAAGAGCACAGAAAGCCAGCGAGTATTAAGAAAGGCAAAGCACCAGAGGGGGAAGTCATTCGACGAGGGTCAACAAGAATCAAAGATCAGGCGAAGTACGTGTTATCTATTGTGACTGAGGTTGTGACATAACACTCACAAACGCCTTCAGTTCTTCGACCACAGCCGTTCTGTCTTTGATAACCCCAACATCCGAGTCTCAGCCCACGGTCCCTATCAGCATTGTGGCCCCCCTTGACCACCAGAATGAACTCCCAACAGAGGAGTTGGCTCTGTCCGTTGCTCTTCCAGTCAGCGCTCAAACCCCCGGTGCTTCAGCTTTGGCCATCGACTCTGGACCCACATCCATCTACAACTCGGAACCCACGCCTGCGCCTATGGGCTTGGATCTCGCTCATTCGACGTCTCTTACCCACTTCCCCGCCACTCCGATCTCCGTTGGTGATTCATCTAATATCGGTGGAGAGCTCGCCCATTTGACCATTGATTCCGGACCCACGTCTATCACCAACTCTGATTCCGCACCTGCGCCTGTGAGCTTGGATCTCGCCCATACGAGTGGTACCTACCACTTTTATGATAAAACCTGGGCATTTGCCTGCACAGTCTTTTCAATCCCCCCAAGTGAAATATGAAATGAAATGCCTAGGCTATTTCATTCCTACCCACCACATTTTTCATTTCTCCTTGGCAATGAAATGCATTTCATTCTTTTGCCTGTGCTTTTTCATAACTTTTTCATTCTTTGCCAACTTTATTTCTTTTCTTTTCATTCTTTGCCAGTATCATTTCATTCTTTTGCCTGCGCTTTTTCATAATTTTTTTTTCATTCTTTGCCAGTCCTATTTCATTCCATTGCCTGCACCTTTTCATAACTTATTATTTCATTGTTTGCCATGTTTAAGGTTAGGGTTGCACTTAAAAAAAATGAAACTCATTTCATTGCTTCTCTAAGCCTTTTCATAACTAGACACATTATTTGTTTGTAAATAATAAACATATGTATTCTCAAATTATTAGCTATAGTTTGACCTAATCAACCCCTGGCTTGTGATTTTTACATTTGTTTGTATTTGAGGCCATAATCTAACTTAATTGAGCAATAAACATGTAAATTGAGGCAACTAAAAGATCACATGTCTTATATTTTGATCCCCA